TGATTGGTTTACACAAGCTTGGCCTACTGTGATCGGTTGGTTTTCACTAAACAATTTTCTTTGTTGATGATAGGTGGATTGGCTGAGGATTAGTGTTGGCGAAATCGAGAATCTACGACCCGTTTTTGTTCCAGTAATATTGGTGAGACATTTTTTTTTAATTTATAATTTATCTAAAATATACCCTCTGATTTATTATTTAGATACTCCCATTTTATAATATCAGTAAGTTTTGTTTTATAATATTTTGTGGGTGGCTAAGCAATTATTAAACTCGAGAAGAAGTTGTATCTTTTAGAAAGAAGTTTTCTTGCAAAACGAACTATTATATGTTACACATGTTATAAGAGTAACATTATAAATATATAATAACATGTGTAACACATCTGATAACAAGCTGATGTTGTTATAAAGGTTGAACCAAAGATTGGAACAATGTTTACTTCCTTAATTCCTGCGAGTAGAAGACGACTGGAACTTTGCGACATGTTTCAGAGTGGGAAAAGAGCTCAACTCTCAAGCTCTGTTCGCAAATGTGGGCTGTGGAGATGGAAAGTTATCGTCTTCGTGCTTGTGGCACCCTTGGCTTGTTATGTTATGATCTTCACCCTCCCTATCCGTAATATCGTGTTGGCTTTCTATCTGCAACACGCGTGGCAAGAACTGCCGACTTCCGATCTACTGAGGATTCATTTTGTGAGAGAAAATGTGCCTAAATCGATGTTTGAGCGCGTCTCTTGTTTAAAAGCGTACAGGCCTAAAATAACGAAACAAGACATCAACACCTCAGCTATACTCACCTATTCTCACCTGAAGAGCTACAACGCTCAGGTGCTTTCTCTAAAGAAAGGTCATGGTCTTTACTTACCTGCGCTAAACCTGAGCCAAAAAGTGGACAACTTGTACCTGTATAAAGTGGCATCAGAGGCTCTGGACCAGGTCGGTGTCCGACATTTTTTCGTGGCTGGCTCCCTCCTGGGGCTCAAGAGACACGGGGGGTTCGTCCCCTGGGACGACGACCTTGACATTGGTGTGGCCAGTGTCCACTGGAAAGTGGTCAAGAAAACGTTGTCGTGTATTGAAGGCTTTAGGATCTGGCAGAAATTGAGCTACCACTGGAAGTTTTTATACACCAATATGTCGTATCCTTTCGTGGACATTTTCTTTTACCAGATGGACAACTCGTATGTATGGGCGGACAACTCGGTCACCCGCAGGACTTTCATTTACCCGACCCACTTGGTTTTCCCATTAACCGAGGACGTGTTTGAGGGCGTCAGGGTGCCTGTACCACGTGACAGCCTGGCCGTGGTCAAGAGGATCTACGACTACAACGTGTGTGAGGTTTACGGTGGTCACACAACAAGGGACATGAGCTATGTGGACCACTACCCTGATGGCTACTCTAAAGAAGAGGTCTCTTGCAAGGATTTATATTACATGTATAAGATGTACAACGTGTAGGCTAAATGGGATCAGTGACAGATTCAACATATATATATATATATATATATATATATATATATATATATATATATATATATATATATATATATATATATATATATATATATATTTTATTGAGAGTCACTCCCTCCAGCACAATTAATTATACGTGTTAATTAACTTGTTATGCGCCATTGAGGTAGTTGACTCTGATTTTAACCTGCTTTTCTTTTGTAGTAGGCCTACATGAGATATGGTGATATGTTTTGTGTAGAGTAAATCTGGAAAGCATTGCTGAAAAGTAAACTTCAGACATATTTTCATATAGGATAACCCGGGGTAATTCCATACCCTACTTTTATTTTTATTTATAAAAAAAACATGTATATACACTAATACATTACTTTATTGGGTGTATACTTGCACATGATATATTTATATGATGGTAAAATTCTGATTTCACTTGCGCAAGTCGTAGATCGCCTATAGGTATAACTGATACATAACCGTATTCTGTGGACGAATTTGGATTGTATAAAATAAATCTATTCATGTAAATTTACCAAGTTTTCATTTTATGTGTATTAACATACTTATATGCTTAGCTTAGGAATGTTGAAATAAAAATTCCATCTACAGCTAGATTTAGTTGTGAGAATCGTTAATGTTTTGCGCGATATGGATTTTCTTTTTTATATATCTTAATATTATAGTCTAAATATTCCAAGGGACAGAGCTACGACATATGATGTTAGTGATTGTCAAAACTACATTTACCTCCCCGTAAAACAAACCGACAAGATACTGAGTCTGAAATTATGCTTTTATCTTTTTAAACTTAAATGAAAGTTTGCAAAAAGACCTGACTGTCCTGGATATGAACTTAGGGGATAGCTATTCCTCTCCAAAATCGCCTTTATCCAATTGTACTTCTGATACAATGTACTGCGCCTGAACAGTGGCGTCACCCGGTGAGGCACTTCGTGATGTCACCCCTCCCACAAGAAACACGGTATATATATATATCTATATATCTAATATATAAAGCTCAATTCTGTAACGCATGTTTGTCGTTGGCATTTCTACGGATTTAAGTGTTAGATCAATTATCGTGCGCAGTTGTCTAAATTTATGAGTTAAAAAATTACTATTAAAAGTGTTGGGAAATCATTTTCCTTTTTCAAATTATAGTAATAATTGTCGGCATGTTCATTAAACAGAAGTTTTAAAAAAATATCATCTTTTACAAAAATTCTAATTATGTTTTTATTTAGTCCTATAGCGCTTACTTCCCTTTGATAAATTAGGCAAAACACAATTACTTCCCTTTATAAAACCATAGCATTAGTTGAAAAGCATTTACTTTTTAATTACTTTGTTTTGGTGTTGGGAAAAAAATAATTACATAATTAGCGGGGATTGATCAAGTGCAAATGTTTTAGGTATTTTACGGATAAGCTTGGAGTATTATAATTGTTCATTAAATTGAAACAGGCGCGTTCGTTTAAGTGAGTGCAAAAACTATGAATAAGTTGGGGTACTATAGTCGTTTATTAAGCTAAAACAGGCGATTCTGCCCCGGGCGTTTATGTTCGCGTTAGTGTTTTCTTTGTGTTTAGGTGGGTTTGCGTTAGTGGTTGCGTTTTGATTTGGTTCGTTTTTGTTCTTTCTTTTTTCGTTTTTGTTTGTGTTTTTTTTTGTTTGGGTTTGTATTTGTGTTTTTGGTTGGTTTTGCGTTTGGATTTGGTTTGTTTTCGTTTGCTTTTTCGTTGTTTTTTTTTTGGTATTGGTGTTTGTGGTTGGGTTTGTTGTTAGGTTTTTGTTTTCGTTTGTTTTTTCTTTGTGTTTGTATTGGTGTTTGTGGTTGTGGTTGGGTTTGTTGTTAGGTTTTTGTTTTCGTTTGTATTTCTAATTGTGTTAGCGTTATGTTTGCGTTTTGTTGTTTTGGTTGGTTGTGGTTTGGGTGGGCAATGCCGGGTTTATGATGATTTCTAAACACACAGGTAATGGTCTTTAACGGAAAGGTTTTTCACAGAAGCCAGAGCAGGGCCTGGCCGGGACGGCTAGTATATATATATATATATATATATATATATATATATATATATATATATATGTACAATAGATATATATATATATGTACAATAGATATATATATATATATTGTTTATATATATATATATATATATATACATATACATATACATATACATATATATATATATAAACAATATATATATAAACAATATATATATATATATATATATATATATATATATATATATATATATATATATATATATATATATATATATATATATATATATATATATATATATATATACATAAACAATATATATATATATATATATATATATATATATATATATATATATATATATATATATATATATATATATATATATATATATATATATATATATATATATATATATATATATATAATTTTAATACATGCCACAAACGCGTACATATATGTGTATAAGCTTTAATCACTGCAGACGTAATAGTAACGGTGTTTATCTACAGTCTGTTAATAATACAGTTGGATGTAGCATTGTTTTCTCTACAGTTAGCACGTTCACGTCATGGTGTCTCCCCACCCCCCTCGATTTGCACCTCCCCCTCAAGTTTTTCTCTATATATTTTGCTATTTTTTGCCTTGGTGTCACCCCCCTAAATGGTGTCAACCGGTGCGGTCCGCACCCCCCCCCGCTCCCCCCTCGCTACGCCCCTGCTATACCTTAGTACCAAAGCTAGGCCATGGTGAAGTTACTATACTATAAAAGATAGTATAATAGTTGGGATTTAGTGTTTTGACTAGGAATAAGTATTAAATCAGAAGCTCACCCAAACTGTACACGGAAAAAACACGGCTCCTAATTCCAAAAGTAATTCCAAAAGTAATTCCAAAAGAAATTCCAAAAGTAATTCCAAACGTAATTCCAAACGTAATTCCAAAAGTAATTCCAAAAGTAATTCCAAAAGTAATTCCAAAAGTAATTCCAAAAGTAATTCCAAAAGTAATTCCAAAAGTAATTCCAAAAGTAATTCCAAAAGTAATTCCAAAAGTAATTCCAAGAGTAATTCCAAGAGTAATTCCAAGAGTAATTCCAAACGTAATTCCAAACGTAATTCCAAACGTAATTCCAAACGTAATTCCAAAAGTAATTCCAAAAGTAATTCCAAAAGTAATTCCAAAAGTAATTCCAAAAGTAATTCCAAAAGTAATTCCAAAAGTAATTCCAAAAGTAATTCCAAAAGTAATTCCAAAAGTAATTCCAAAAGTAATTCCAAAAGTAATTCCAAAAGTAATTCCAAAAGTAATTCCAAAAGTAATTCCAAAAGTAATTCCAAAAGTAATTCCAAAAGTAATTCCAAAAGTAATTCCAAAAGTAATTCCAAAAGTAATTCCAAAAGTAATTCCAAAAGTAATTCCAAAAGTAATTCCAAAAGTAATTCCAAAAGTAATTCCAAAAGTAATTCCAAAAGTAATTCCAAAAGTAATTCCAAAAGTAATTCCAAAAGTAATTCCAAAAGTAATTCCAAAAGTAATTACAAAAGTAATTCCAAAAGTAATTCGAAAAGTAATTCCAAAAGTAATTCCAAAAGAAATTCCAAAAGAAATTCCAAAAGTAATTCCAAAAGTAATTCCAAAAGTAATTCCAAAAGTAATTCCAAAAGTAATTCCAAAAGTAATTCCAAAAGTAATTCCAAAAGTAATTCCAAAAGTAATTCCAAAAGTAATTCCAAAAGTAATTCCAAAAGTAATTCCAAAAGTAATTCCAAAAGTAATTCCAAAAGTAATTCCAAAAGTAATTCCAAAAGTAATTCCAAAAGTAATTCCAAAAGTAATTCCAAAAGTAATTCCAAAAGTAATTCCAAAAGTAATTCCAAAAGTAATTCCAAAAGTAATTCCAAAAGTAATTCCAAAAGTAATTCCAAAAGTAATTCCAAGAGTAATTCCAAGAGTAATTCCAAGAGTAATTCCAAACGTAATTCCAAACGTAATTCCAAACGTAATTCCAAAAGTAATTCCAAAAGTAATTCCAAAAGTAATTCCAAAAGTAATTCCAAAAGTAATTCCAAAAGTAATTCCAAAAGTAATTCCAAAAGTAATTCCAAAAGTAATTCCAAAAGTAATTCCAAAAGTAATTCCAAAAGTAATTCCAAAAGTAATTCCAAAAGTAATTCCAAAAGTAATTCCAAAAGTAATTCCAAAAGTAATTCCAAAAGTAATTCCAAAAGTAATTCCAAAAGTAATTCCAAAAGTAATTCCAAAAGTAATTCCAAAAGTAATTCCAAAAGTAATTCCAAAAGTAATTCCAAAAGTTATTCCAAAAGTAATTCCAAAAGTAATTCCAAAAGTAATTCCAAAAGTAATTCCAAAAGTAATTCCAAAAGTAATTCCAAAAGAAATACCAAAAGTAATTCCAAAAGTAATTCCAAAAGTAATTCCAAAAGTAATTCCAAAAGTAATTCCAAAAGTAATCCCAAAAGAAATTCCAAAAGTAATTCCAAAAGTAATTCCAAAAGTAATTCCAAAAGTAATTCCAAAAGTAATTCCAAAAGTAATTCCAAAAGTAATTCCAAGAGTAATTCCAAGAGTAATTCCAAAAGTAATTCCAAAAGTAATTCCAAAAGTAATTCCAAAAGTAATTCCAAAAGTAATTCCAAAAGTAATTCCAAAAGTAATTCCAAAAGTAATTCCAAAAGTAATTCCAAAAGTAATTCCAAGAGTAATTCCAAGAGTAATTCCAAGAGTAATTCCAAAAGTAATTCCAAACGTAATTCCAAACGTAATTCCAAAAGTAATTCCAAAAGTAATTCCAAAAGTAATTCCAAAAGTAATTCCAAAAGTAATTCCAAAAGTAATTCCAAAAGTAATTCCAAAAGTAATTCCAAAAGTAATTCCAAAAGTAATTCCAAGAGTAATTCCAAGAGTAATTCCAAGAGTAATTCCAAGAGTAATTCCAAGAGTAATTCCAAAAGTAATTCCAAACGTAATTCCAAACGTAATTCCAAAAGTAATTCCAAAAGTAATTCCAAAAGTAATTCCAAAAGTAATTCCAAAAGTAATTCCAAAAGTAATTCCAAAAGTAATTCCAAAAGTAATTCCAAAAGTAATTCCAAAAGTAATTCCAAAAGTAATTCCAAAAGTAATTCCAAAAGTAATTCCAAAAGTAATTCCAAAAGTAATTCCAAAAGTAATTCCAAAAGTAATTCCAAAAGTAATTCCAAAAGTAATTCCAAAAGTAATTCCAAAAGTAATTCCAAAAGTAATTCCAAAAGTAATTCCAAAAGTAATTCCAAAAGTAATTCCAAAAGTAATTCCAAAAGTAATTCCAACAGTGCGAATATGAAGAAAACAATTACAGTACCTCACTCATATATATATATATATATATATATATATATATATATATATATATATATATATATATATATATATATATATATATATATATATACATTACATCTTCAAAGACAAATAAAAATCATGTGAACATTATTCCACCTTCAATCGTTTTGAAGAGAATCCTCCAAGTTGACTACTGCATTCATTGACTAAATTCAACTACGGCATTCCTCTACGTATTGTAACATACTGGTCATCATTAATGCATTTCTACATTTTAAGACATCATAAAACGTCATCAATTTGTTTAGTACACTAGATCAAAGTTTATAGGTATAAATATTTTTTTTTAAATATCTGAGTGTTGACGTCTCAGCTTTGTGCCGGTTGTACGCCCCAAGACTCATTTTATTTTTACACTTGTGGTCAGCTGACTCGGTATCCTGCACGGTTTCACTTGGTACTTTTGACATCAAGAGCCTAGGGTAGCACTTTAAGCACTATGGCGCCTACAGTTGTTTTAAAGAGCGCCCTACAACAGGATACGGCGGGCCACTGTTATCGATGACAACACCGACCGTGGGACCGTCAGGTGACAAGTTTTATTGGCGGCTCTCACGCTCCCACCGCGGCACCCCCTGCCAGCCTGTATTCATTAAATGCCCTACCTAACCCTTTTTGAGAATGATCAACACAAAGATTACCATTCAGCACATGCACTGTGTAAGGGCGGCTAATCTAGCGTTAAGCTTGAAAAAAGTTTAAAGCTGGGTTAGCCACAGATTTCTAGTTTGTTTGTCCATATGAACCTACTACCAACGCGTCACATCTCTGCTACCTGATCGGAAATAAGTTACATCGATTTTCTGAAATGTTATAAATAGCTTGGAGGTACCGAAATTATTACCTGTAGACAGTGGCGTCACTAGGTCGAGTGAATGTACGGCAACTTATGGTGTCAGCCCCACCCTTTTTTTTCTCTGTAAATTTTGCAGTTGGTGCCAGTTTGCCACCCCCCCCCCCCCCTCCCCCGGTAATAGCCTTAAAGTGTTCACATTTAATGCTAAAGACGTTTATCTATAGTCGGGTGTTTATACAAATGGGTGGAGTATTGTTTTCTCTACATTTTGCATGTTTACCTAATGGTGTCACCCCCCCCCCCCCCCCACACACACCCTTGTCAAAAGAGCGCACGACAAAAGAGCGCCTACATAAGAGCGCAGACAAAAGAGCGCCGACATCAGAGCGCCGACATAAGAGCGCACTAATTTCCCGACAAAAGAGAGCCGACATTAGAGCGCAGACAAAAGAGCGCCGACATAAGAGCGCCGACATAAGAGCGCACTAATTTCCCGACAAAAGAGCGCCGACATTAGAGTGCAGACAAAAGAGCGCAGACAAAAGAGCGCCGACATAAGAGCGCCGACATAAGAGCGCACTAATTTCCCGACAAAAGAGAGCCGACATTAGAGCGCAGACAAAAGAGCGCCGACATAAGAGCGCCGACATAAGAGCGCCGACATAAGAGCGCACTAATTTCCCGACAAAAGAGCGCCGACATTAGAGCGCAGACAAAAGAGCGCCGACATAAGAGCGCCGACATAAGAGCGCACTAATTTCCCGACAAAAGAGCGCCGACATTAGAGTGCAGACAAAAGAGCGCCGACATAAGAGCGCCGACATAAGAGCGCCGACATAAGAGCGCACTAATTTCCCGACAAAAGAGCGCCGACATTAGAGTGCAGACAAAAGAGCGCCGACATAAGAGCGCCGACATAAGAGCGCACTAATTTCCCGACAAAAGAGCGCCGACATTAGAGCGCAGACAAAAGAGCGCCGACATAAGAGCGCCGACATAAGAGCGCACTAATTTCCCGACAAAAGAGCGCCGACATTAGAGCGCACTAATTTCCCGACAAAAGAGCGCCGACATTAGAGTGCAGACAAAAGAGCGCCGACATAAGAGCGCCGACAAAAGAGCGCCGACATAAGAGCGCACTAATTTCCCGACAAAAGAGCGCCGACATTAGAGCGCAGACAAAAGAGCGCCGACGTAAGAGCGCCGACATAAGAGCACACTAATTTCCCGACAAAAGAGCGCCGACATTAGAGCGCCGACATAAGAGCGCCGACATAAGAGCGCCGACATAAGAGCGCCGACATAAGAGCGCACTAATTTCCCGACAAAAGAGCGCCGACATTAGAGCGCACTAATTTCCCGACAAAAGAGCGCCGACATTAGAGCGCAGACAAAAGATCGCCGACATAAGAGCGCCGACATAAGAGCGCTGACATAAGAGCGCACTAATTTCCCGACAAAAGAGCGCCGACATTAGAGCGCAGACAAAAGAGCGCCGACATAAGAGCGCCGACATAAGAGCGCCGACATAAGAGCGCACTAATTTCCCGACAAAAGAGCGCCGACATTAGAGCGCAGACAAAAGAGCGCCGACATAAGAGCGCCGACATAAGAGCGCCGACATTAGAGCGCAAACTAAAGTTCGAAAACCATAGTTAATGGTTAATAAAAATTAACTCCAGAAGGCATCGTTTGATGTTAACTCTTTATTGTTTCATTAAAAAACTAATTGTTCAGTTTCTTTAACTAAAAAACTGATAAAATCAACGTGAAGTCCAATTATTCAAAACGCAATCTAATAACACATACAAAGATTTTAAATGTTAGGCCTAAATTTAGAATATAAACTGAAATGAAATGTAACAAAATGAAAATATATTTCAAATGAATAAAACGTTTCTTTATAGTTGCATTTATATTGCTAAGTTGTGGGCTATACCTCGTATTGAATCATTAGCATAGGTTGAAGCAATCCCCTGCAATCTTTGGTTCAGCTGAACATATTTGTTATTTGAAGCTTCTGGTTGATTCTCTCCAGTTACAGTTCGATTTCGATGTGATCTTGTTCCAGACGAAACTGGTTGATCAACTTAAAAACGGAAGGATGGTTTCTCCTTCGCCTCCCTATGTACGTATCCTGCCGATGATGACAGAACAACATCGTTCAGCATTTTCATCCACCCTCGGCAGCCATCGTTCTTGCAGCATCTCCATGTCGTACTTCCATCAGCATTTGCTATGTCCTTTCCACATCTGTAGCCTTCGACCAAAATAATTACCTTCCCTTTCTGTGATTCGATCTTCTCCATGTTACTTGGGTTAGAAATATTTTCAAACTGCATTCATAACATATTAAACATAATATATAAATAAACACGTCGTTTTACCGTACCGTCGATTGTTTAATTAAAACAAGTGTTAACAATGTCATATTCGTTTAGCGTACAACATGTGTTTTTTTTAACTGGCTGCGCTCTTATGTCGGCGCTCTTTTGTCTGCGCTCTTATGTCGGCGCTCTTTTGTCGTGCGCTCTTTTGACGGGTCACCATCGTCAATATATACTTAAAATATTTTTATCTCTAATTAACTATTCATTGAACTGGCCCAATGCACTTTTATTCTATATATCTTGCCATTTTTTTGTGTCTTGGTGTCATCTAGTGCTGCCCTCTACCCGCGCCCCGCTTCTGCATGTACAGAAATACATTTTTTTTTGTTTCACCTTGTCGAATATTTGTTCAGATTATGTATGCATTGCCAACAAACAGAAATGATGGCCCGTGTAAGTCCCCTGGTTTAATGTTTGATTGCCTCTGTAAGTCCCCTGGTTTAATGTTTGATGGTCCGTGTAAGTCCCCTGCTTTCATGAATGATGGTCCGTGTAAGTCCCCTGGTTTAATGTTTGAATGTCCGTGTAAGTCCCCTGCTTTCATGAATGATGGTCCGTGTAGGTCCCCTGGTTTAATGTTTGATGGTCCGTGTAATTCCCCTGCTTTCATGAATGATGGTCCGTGTAAGTCCCCTGGTTTAATGTTTGATGGTCCGTGTAAGTCCCCTGCTTTCATGAATGATGGTCCGTGTAAGTCCCCTGGTTTAATGTTTGATGGTCTCTGTAAGTCCCTGGTTTAATGTTTGATGGTCTCTGTAAGTCCCTGGTTTAATGTTTGATGGTCTCTGTAAGTCCCCTGGTTTAATGTTTGATGGTCCGTGTAAGTCCCCTGGTTTAATGTTTGATGGTCTCTGTAAGTCCCCTGGTTTAATGTTTAAACAGAGGTCTGAGGTGATGTTCTATAGAACAGAGGTCTGAGGTGATGTTCTATAGAACAGAGGCCTGAGGTGATGTTCTATAGAACAGAGGTCTGAGGTGATGTTCTATAGGCCGAGAAACAACCGCGTCTGCAACCCTCACGCATCAACTCGTAGCTCTATGTTGCTAATTATTCCTAGCGTGGAACTTTCTAGAGAATAATTTCAGCAGGCGGACAAGATCAATATAAAAGCATTAATTCGCAGTTTTGTTGTACATAGCTTAATAAGCTTGCTAAAGCTTTGTTCTAAAACTATAAGGTAGTTTTTTATCCTTTTTTTATTATTATTTTTTTGCATTACTTAAGTTTAATATTTTAATAGAAGGTAAGATAGTAGTTTTTTTATATCAGCCTATATTCCTAGTTCAAGTTATCATTACCAAACAAATAAAAACATAGAAGATAATGGTGGACATTGATACATTAAATGTTACAGAAGAAATAGGATAATGCGTTAAGTAGACATAATTAGAGTGTGATTTATTATTAGTCGTTTGTAGATAACATAAAAGCCATTTAATAATATCAACTTATATTGCTCAATTAGGAAATTGATATTTTTAAAATTACTGAGGCAGTTATTAATACACACACACACACACACACACATATATATATATATATAAATATATATATATATATATATATATATATATATATATATATATATATATATATATATATATATATATATATATATATATATATATATATATATATTGGGCAGGGGTTCCAAACAAATTTTTACGTGGGAGTCTTTTTTATTCTAGTTCCGGCTCTGATATAAGCTTGTTTAAACTTTTCCATATCAAGCTTTATTTAACTTTTTCACTATTTAAATAGTCTTTATTTATTTTATATTTAAAATTAAAGCAATATTATTTTCTCAATGTTAGCGCATAATTAATAAAATAATTCTCTGAATCTGATTTCAGAATTTGTTTTGTGCTCGTTGAGAACATGAGAACAACGTAGAAAATATAAGGTGCATCATATTAATAATATATTGAGGCAAAGAGAATCCAATTAATGACAATTGCTACAAATCCTTGTATTAAAGATATTTTCTAAAGCAAATGGTTCTCTGATAGGCTTGCATAAAGCAAGAGTTTAGTGGCTGTATAGAGTACAAGTACGAGATTGTATTAACCTTAGATAAACATCCAAGCGTCCATACCTTGTTTGTTAAAAATTGAATCGATGACATTATTATTGTTCTATAATTATAGAGGTTGTTAAATTAAACAGTTTTAATATAACTTCTTAATTACTGTGTACTGCATATTGTACTCTTAAATACGTTTAAATTAAATATTGATAATTAACACTTTTACATTAAAGGAAAAACATTTTTTTTATAAATTTTATATATATTATGCTAGAGAAATGCTAGAGAAGATTAAAGCTCTAACGATGTTTGAAAATTGGAAACACGTGAATTTTTCAAATGTTTGTCGTAAAATTTGGCTATTAAAGTTTAGAATTTTATTACTGTTGGTGTTCCTGGTATTGGCAACAACTACCTTTGTTTTCGTCATTCCTGTTCGCAACTTTGTGTTGTCCGGTTCTGTCAAATTTGCGTGGAGGGAAGTGCCTACCATGGACTTATTCAGGATGCATTTTGTTGAGGAAAATATTCCTGATGGAATGTTTGAAAACTTTACATGTTTGATTATAAATAGGCCAGAAATAAAGAAACAAGATATCAACACTTCAGCTATACTGACCTATTCTTACCTCAGGAACAATGAAGCTCAAATCAGGTCATTAAAGAAAGGTCATGGCCGTTACTTACCTGCGCTAAACCTGAGCCAAAAAGTGGACAACTTGTACCTGTATAAAGTGGCAGCAGAGGCTCTGGACCAGGTCGGTGTCCGACATTTTCTCGTGGCTGGCTCCCTCCTGGGGCTCAAGAGACACGGGGGGTTCGTCCCCTGGGACGACGACCTTGACATTGGTGTGGCCAGTGTCCATTGGGAAGTGGTCAAGAAAACGTTGTCGTGTATTGAAGGCTTTAGGATCTGGCAGAAATTGAGCTACCACTGGAAGTTTTTATACACCAATATGTCGTATCCTTTCGTGGACATTTTCTTTTACCAGATGGACAACTCGTATGTATGGGCAGACAACTCGGTCACCCGTAGAACTTTTATTTACCCGACCCACTTGGTTTTCCCATTAACCGAGGACGTGTTTGAGGGCGTCAGGGTGCCTGTACCACGTGACAGTCTGGCCCTGGTCAAGAGGATCTACGACTATGACGTGTGCGCGGCGTATGCTGGTCATATACTGAGATCTATGATTTGCACCGACCAGTACCCGTATGGACATTATGTTAAAGCTACATACTGCAAGGATTTATCCTACATGTACAATATGCAAGACATATCATAATTTGATTTATTGTAGACTAGGCATATTGCCTAGCTTTGCTTAGGTTTTCCAACAAAAAAAATCTGAGAATTTTAATAATTATTAATTTGTGATTGATTGTTATGTAGAGTGCTTAATTTTAAACATTGATAATTTATTATTAGAAATCGCTGGTAGAATATTCTCTAACGTATTACTTGCATTGTAATTAGAACTACAGAAGCTTTCTAGATAGTATACCTCAATTCATATCACAATAACTTTTCATGTTAATTTGTACAACTTAATTAGGATACAAATGTAATGTATAACAAAATTATTTGTTCAAACTAATGCTGTATTTCTTCATTTTCTGTTTGTTAAAAATAGTATAAAAATAATTGAAAAATAATTTCTTTAGAAAGTTAGCTCCCTTTTACATACTCCGAATGACGTAGTCTCTGTTTACTTTTTTTTTACAGACAATTGCTAAACAAATGTAATGTCCCCCGGGGATTTTTTGGTAGTCCGTCCGACTCCCCCCCCCCCCCCCCCCCCAGGATCGGTCTACGACCTGACTGAGGGGCTTAGGGGTTCGTCGAGCCAATTTTTTTATATATAGCTCATATAAGGAGAATTTCACTCGCGGTCTTTTTTAGCTCTCGTCGACAACTTTGAATCAACCCGATAGATTTGCTATACGGCCTAGCCATTTACCGAGGTACATGCGAAAAATTAGCTAGATGTACAGAAGGTAAGTGCTCTATAATCTGTGTTAAAATTACCCTCTGTTTTTCACATAAATTACAAAGATTGTATAGGGAAATACGACTGGTCAGTTTTGACAACTTTACAGATTTTTCCCAGATGTATCGAGTTTTTTTCTGAAATCCCTAGGCGTTTTTCTAAGACCTCATTAAAAATCAAGCGGGGTGAAAAGTATTTTTTTCGATATATAGCTCAATAAGGTGCCGGTAGTCTAGATCAGTTTTGACACATCTTTATAAATTTTTTGTGGCCGACAGACACCGGCTTCCGTGTTCTGTCGGCCCGAAGTAGGAGCCTGCCAAAATTAAAGCGCCCGAATGGCATCCGTCAAATGTGTTTTATATATAGCCCTATAGATTTTTACCTTTATATAAATAATTTTTATATTGGAATCGTCTTGCAAATTTATTTTTCAAAATGCATCTTTTAAAAAATGTTAAAATTTAAAATGTTACAATGTTATTTTAATAGAGGTTCTAGAATAGATATATTAATAGATAGATATGTTCTTTATGAGCAGTGTTATTGTATATTTCTTTGACTTTAACCATTTCCTGCGGTGCAGGTGCAGGTAAAGTGATTGCATTGTATAAGACTAAGTGTACATACGTTCCTTCTTACGTTCTATGTCAACCAGTCAATATCTGTATAGGATACCTTATAGGCGTAAGTCAAAGACCTATTGTACTTTCAACTGCGACATAGAACTGAAAAACGTAGCCACCACCTATATAATCGATATTTGATCCAAACGCTAAGCCATAATTGAGGCTAAAAACATCATGTAAGAGAAATTTAAGAAAAATGTCACTGATCATTTTTTTAACATCACTCAGTTTTATTATTTATTTTTATCCTTTCACAAGCGAATTTTTAAGTTATTATCTCTTATTTTTAATCTTTTGTCTTTAATATACGACATTTATTTATTTGTTTACTATATTGAAAATAATATTTATAAAGCATTAAATAAAAATCAAATAAAAACTTTCGACAGCCATTAGTGCTGGCAATCTAAAATCCACTTGTGATGTCTTTTTTAAACATACTTAGAGGTTAAATTATGTGTGAACATATCTGCGTGTATGATTGTGTACGTGCATGTGTTTGCGTATTGTGGATACGTTAAATTCAAACCTTTAACGTGTTTTTTACTCTTTCGTATACCCCAACTAAAGAACGTGAAGAAAATATTAAATACACGTACATTACTAAAACTTATTAAACGAATCAATGTCAAATCAAATTTTCGCTTATATTCCTAAAGAAATGTATACATTTTAATTATAGTAGGGTCGAAAAAAACCAATTCAAATGTTTAATAATTTTGTCAGGGGAGGTAATTTAAAAAGAAATTAAACTCACGCAAAATATTGCTATTTAAGTTTTGAAAAATGTGAATGCTAATTGCGCCGACGATCGTGAGAGTATTGTTGTTAAAATACACGTCCGTTTGTTTTATAAAGCCATTTGATAAAGCGTTTGTGTTTTCTTTTGTGTTTGATTTTTTGTTTGGGTTTGTGTTCCGCTTGTGTTTTGGTGTTTTGTTTGTGTTTGCGTTTTTGTTTGCGTTTGTATGTGTTTGCCTCTGTGTTTGTGTTTGAATTATATTGTTTTGTAAGTTAGCGTTGGCGTTTCTGTTTTCGTTTGTGTTTTTTCTGTTTGCATTTTTGTTTGCATTGTGTTTGCGTTGTATTTTGCTATTGTGTTTGTTTTTGCGTATGTGTATTTTTTGCGTTTGTGTTTGATATTGTTCTGTTCCCAAGTTGGTACATTTTAAAAAGATTCACCGTGGCGGTGCACGGGTATGCAGCTAGTAATAGAGGTGAAGAAAAATTCCTTGAATAGAAAGTTTGCCGGTAGTATAATTGAACCTGAAAACGTAAATGTCAATGGTAGCGCACTGGGCGATTATGAAAGGTCTCTCATCCAACCCTCTCCCCTGTGCAGTAGGTTAGCCCAGGCAGTAGCGAAGCGAGGGGGGGGGAGGGGCGGGGGGACATGGGTTGCAAAAATAAATTGAAAGGTTGAGAGGGGTGCAAATCAAAAGTTTGAGGGGGGTGGGGTGCAAATCGAAATCTTGAGGGGGGGTGTAAATCAAAAGTGTGAGGGGGGGGGGGTGCAAATCGAAATATTGAGGGGGGGGTGCAAATCGAAATCTTGAAGGGGGGTGGTGCAAATCGAAAGTTGGAGGGGGGGTGCAAAATCGAAATCTTGAGGGGGGTGCAAATTGAAAAGTTTGTCCCCGGGCGCCGGGAAGGGTCGTTACGCTTCTGAGCCCAGGTCTAGCATTGCTGCATCTAATATTCTAGTGCATTTATTTTATATAAAATTAGCTGGTCTACTACTTTTGTTCTTTGATACATGTTTGAATATTAAATATGCATTTATTAAGGCAGGTATATAACGATAAACAGTTGAATGGAACTTTTCTTCAGACATAATATTTAAGAGGATCGTGTTTCAAGTGTTTGTGAAAGCAGTCAAAGTTCACTAGAACTGGGAGTTCGCCTAGATCAAAGGCTAGAATTGAGACTGAAATAATGTTTGTCAATGCAAGTCTAAGAAATTCTTCATTTCTTTTAATTATAGGCGAAACAAAAAATATAACCCTTCCCCCACGCCTGAAAGTACTTTGGGCATCTCTTCCTATCTACAGTTCTCTCTCTCTCTCTCTCTCTCTATATATATATATAATATATATATATATAGGCCTATATATATATATATATATATATATATATATATATATATATATATATATATATATATATATATATATATATATATATATATTATATAGCTTCGTTTTAAAGTTTAACATTGTACACTTGTAACGGCTAAATATATGTGTGTATTTATTATTTGTGAGATTAATAAAAAGAGAGATTAATAAAATTTAAAACTATGTTTATAATTTATTGTCGTTTCTTTTGAGTCCATCTAAACAGCCTGCACTTAACCCCCCCCCCCCCCCCTACCCCCCCCCCCCCCCCCCCAAAAAAAAAAAAGTAACAACAATGTAACGATGTGACTTTGTAAATAAACGAAAACTAGGCCTGGTCTTTTAAAGGTTGACAACATTATCTACGCCAACTATGAAAAGAAAACTAGACCACATTGTCCATGGAGCAGATAAAGTAGAGTTCATCACTCTTTTTTTTTTACCTCGGCCCATATCGGAATAAGCCCAACTATTTCCTGTCCCCAACTCGATTCAGGTACCTCTCAGTGTTGAATGGAATCTGGAATCTGGTACCAGACTCAACTCTTTAGGGCTGTAGGTGTTCTCTCTGTAACTTGACCACGATAGACGTTCTAACAAAAACAGAGAACAGTGATGTACAATGAAGGTGACGAATGAAAAAAAATTGGACGGGGTGGCCTAGAGGTAAAGCGCTAGACTGTTAACCCGAAAGTCTCAGGATCGAATCCGGGGAAGTCAGCAGAACGTTTCTGAGTCCATTCAGCTCTAATGGGTACCTAACTCACGTAAAGATAAATGAAGGTGGCCGGACATAGTCCTTCATATGCCGAGGTCACTTTAAAACATTAAATAATAATCATTAAAAAAGTTTTTAAAAACCCACGTTTTCTGATTGAACTAAAAAGTAGAAAATAAATACTATACATCACAATAATGCAAGCGATCACTCTACTATAAGCGATCAAAAACGTGGGGCGCCGAAGTAAAAGTTATATTACTATTGATTAGATAATACTATTGACTTTTATTAGGGAGCTTATAGAGAGTCAACAGTATTAGAAACTGTAAGAAAATCACGGCGCCCCACGTTTTTGATCGCTTATAGTAGAGTGATCGCTTGCATTATTGTGATGTATAGTATTTATTTTCTACTTTTTAGTTCAATCAGAAAACGTGGGTTTTTTAAAACTTTTTTAATGATTATTATTTTCTACTTTTTAGTCTTTGTCTGTTTGTTTGCATTAAAATCTTGCTATCGATTTTATCTTTTCACTTTTTTTTGGGTAAACGAAGACAACTCGTAAAAAGACAACTCGTAAAAAGACAACTCGTAAAAAACACGTTGTGTGAATACGTTACTGACTAGAACACATAGATTTGAACCCGTGTCGAGTGGGATAGCAATCGTGTGCCCAACCACTCGACCATATAGTCTCCCCCATACTGGCCACCAGTTGTTAGGTTATGGTTGTTTGTACACAAACACCGCGTGACAACTACTCAGTAAGCAAAAAGAGGGGGAGTGCCGAACCTTGTTTTCATCAAATTACAGTTACTGGGTAATGTC